TCGAAAACCTTGAAACATATGTGGTATAGCTGTGTTTTCACTGGGGTTTCCGGGTTTCCTGCCAGGCGCAACCCTCCTGCGGGGTAGGGGGTTTGGGGGGGGGGCGTGGGGGGGGGCGAAGGAGCAGGGGGGGGATTGCCACCCCCTCCCAGAAAACCTTTACACGTTTTTGATATCTGTGCTTTCACACGGCATCCTTACCACACACATGGCAAACATATATGGCAACTATGTGTTCACACGGCTTCTCCACCGAACCCTTCAAAGATACATCGGGCAACTGTGTTTTTCACAGGGTCTCCTGCCGGGCGCAGCTTCCCTGAGGGGGCGCGGAAGATGCGAGGGGGCAGGAGGAGGAGGAGTGGCGACTGTTTCCAAAAGAAATCTGCTGAACATATGGGAAAACTGCACATCCCCAGCGTCTCCATACCAACGCATTGAACCATAGTTGGGATATCTGTGTTTGGCAGGGCTTGCTGACCACATCCCTGACATTTGCTTCGGGGATTATATATGCACACGTCTGAATTACACGCATGCTTTCACTCGACTTCTTTACCAAAACCTTGAAACTTATCTGGTGTGTCTGTACTTTTTGCATATCGTCCTGCCTGACACGCCGTCTGTAAAACCGGAATGGTCGGAAGAACAACGAGGAAGACTGCGAGGAGGAGTGCAGCCGCGCTGAAATTCCCAACGCAGCCAGTAAAACATTTGTCCATAGTGTCCCTCGTGAAACTCTTACCCGCACCCAACTACAGCCATTACTACAAAACTGAGCACACCTTCCGAATGTATCTTCTAGTGCGCCAAGTCGCGCACCTCTCGCTATCGCTGCTGCACATGCGACTGCAGGACCCACTACAGCTGTTTGGCACAGCCAGTAGGGCCACTCCCACTACAGCCCATCAGCCCCCCCCTAAATTCGCAATGCCGCCACTACAATAGCTCGTTTGACATGTCGCACTACAGCTCCCGCTACAACTGACAATGCAATTACCCCACAATTGCTCCTTCCACCCTTCCATTTTGCTTGATGCTGCAGACCAGACGCATTGGGAAAATAACGATTCCTGTCCTCTTAAGCGCTACCCTTCAAAGGCGAGTCGGACAGCATTCGCACTCGCCGGCAGCGCCGACCGCACTAGACAAACGCACCGTGCGCGCGCGAACCCCAGGCGGCTTCCACACAGGTCATATAAGACACACGCACGCGCTGAAAGCCAAGAGCGTCGCCGAGCGTAGCATAAACAAAAACGCCGACCGATCGCTCTGGACCTGGGTCGATACGAGCTGGCAACAGTGCTGCATAATGGAACGTTGGAGGCCCAACTCCGTGCACACCCTCGCAAACTCAATCGCCCGGCAAGTGGCAGCGCGCAGATGGGATGAGCCAAGCCACGAATGGTGGGGGAATCGCGAGGCGCAACTGCCAACGCGCCAGCGCCGAGACACTCAGGCACGCGCGGACAAATATGTCATCGAGGAGGGGAAGAGGAGCCAGAGGAAGAGGGGGAGAAACAAAAAAAACAGTCAAAAGCCACCTCGCCCCTTCGCGGAAAAACCCGATGCACGCCCCCGAGAACTCGGAAGAGGAAAACTGATGATGCCGGATGCAACTATGGAGCCTGAAGTGGGCATAGGAAGGAGAGAGCGCGCTGCAGGAGGAGCGAGTCTCCTCCCAGCGCTCCCGAGACACTGCTCGGAGGCATGCGTAGGAAATTATCGAAGGCCCACTCCAGAGCCGGAGTTGGCCCATCGAACTGCTCTGCAGTCAGCCTTCGACTTGTTGGGCAGCGCGCAAACTGTGCGAGGCTATCGTCGCCAACGCCACAAGCGAATGCGCAAGGGCCACAAATTTGCGCCTGGCCGCAATTCTGGCATTGGGGCCGTCGTCGACGAACGCGGCAACGTCGTGACGGGGGCGGGCGATATGGCAAGCGCGGTGCGGCGCCAGTGGGGGGAGACTTCCCGGGAAAGCGGCATTCGGCAGGATCGCCTCGAGGAGTGGTTGATCGAGGGCGCCGCCGACCGGGAGCTCCATGGCCCCGCGCATGCGGTCACGCGCGAGCTCCAGCTCAGACGCCAGCGCCCCAACGACTCCTGCCCAGGGCCGGATGGACTACCCTATGGGGCTTGGAGGGCGTTAAGGGAATTAGCGGCGAACGCATTGCACGGGGCGTTCCAAGACATGGTGCCCGAAGCAGGGGAGGAGCGAGTCCGGCACCACTGCGCCGACTTCAACGAAAGTCTGCTCTTCTTCCTTCCCAAAGATCTTGAGAGCCCAGCGGGAAGTGAGGCCGCGGCCTTGCCTGCGAGCGGCGCGCGGCCGCTTAACGCGGCGAGCTGTGACAACCGCCTCTTCGCCAGCGCGATTTGCCTGGTGGTGGGGCCCTCGATCGAACCGCTCATAATGTCGGATCAGAGCGGGTTCTTACCAGGATGCTCGATGATAGCGAACCTTCTAGACGTAAAAAAAACGATTGCCCAAATGTCCGCAGAAGGGCGGGCCGGCCCGGCTGCGTTTCATGACTTTGCTGCCACCTCCCCTTCAATAGACCACAACAGTTTCCAACAAGTGTTCGCTTCGCTGGGCTGACAACTGAAATTGTTCAAAATACTCTGCTAGCGTGTCTGGTCGGCCTGCTGTATCTGACAACTTTCCTGTGCGATCCTTGACTCCAGCGTGTTTTGGCGGTCGTTTCTTCCTCAATTGTTTGACGGCGCTCCCCCAGCCAATGCGGTGCTGATCCAATTTGACCGGTCTTGTCGTGCGGCTTGTGATTTGTTTGTTCAACGCCTGCTCGTCTATGAACTGCCCTGTTGTTCGGCATGCGCTTCTGTTCTCAATCAGATCCAACATATGCGCTGGAATATCCAAGGGCGCTTTGCTACAGCATGGCAAAGTTTCAGAGAACATGCAGCGGATGAGAAGGCCTGCTCCACCGCCCCGGCCACGTCATCCAGAGAGCCCCCCAAAACAACATCGCCCCAAGCCCGCGCAAACTTCGATACAAAATCTCGTTGCACGTCCGGCTCCTTCAAAATGAAGCGTCTAAGCGCGACGAGCGGGCTTTGTTGCGATTCTGAAACTGGAATGCAATGGTGGCCATGGTCAGGAAATGATGGCTATTTAGGGCCGCTCTTCGATGGGATCTGCAATCCAATGCCCACGGCAAGACTGAGGAAATACATAAGATATGGTCGATTTGCGAGAACCGTTCAGGACAAAAAAAGCCCATCGGAACCACCCCCAAATCCCTGTACGCGATGCGCTCGTCTTCCGGTACATTGAAGAAATATGTTCGCGATCGCCACGTCGTTGCCGTGGCAGCGTTCCAACAGAAGTTGGCGAATGGAGACCTGTGCGACGGTGCGTTTCGCAAATTTCCCAAGGTAAACATGCTTTCCGATAATATGTTCTTCGCCCTGGCTGTGGATCAACAGTCTTGCATCAAAATCCCCCAGAACCATAACAATGCTGTGCGGCGTTGTCGGCCGGATGTACGCGTCCACGTCGGAATAGAAGTCGCGCCTGACGTCCTCATGATGTCCACTGTGTGGCGCGTAAGCGGTGATGAGGGTTAGCATCCCGCCAACAACCTTTATTCTCAGGGAGGCGAATCTCAGGGAAGAGGCATGGAAAGCAACTGCTGATCTGTCGGCCCATGGTGCAACTGTAAAGCCAACCCCGGCATCTGAACGCTTATCTGCATCAAATACCCTGACAAGCACATCATAAAACCATATCCATGCTTGTAATAAACAGTTACATGCAAGTGTGTCTCTTGTATGCATACATTATCAATGATCTGCTTTTGCATTGTGCCGAATATCTCTGTGTACTTACCCTGCGAATCCCCCCATCAGACCTTCCACATTCCAGGAGCCCAATCTAATCGTCGAGGTCGGCAGACATGCTGCGCGAGGCCTGCCCCATGAGGTTGTGGAACGGATGGGATCGAAGACGGTGCAATAGCAGAAGAACGGCCGAGCGATGTATCATTGCCGGCCTCGCCAAATAAATCCGTCTCAAACTCTGCCCATTCGGAGACAACTACTGAAGACGTGAAAACGTGTCCAAGAGAAATGCGTTGAAGTGTGTAACCAAAACTTGAAGTACAATCAAATGCGGTAATGGTACGTGTTCCGGATCTGGTTCCAGAGGCAACCATGAAGATGGGAGACACGCTCCCAGTTGACACATCGAATTTCTCTTTAGAAGAATTGCGGAACGCCTTGCAAAAGATCAAACAAGGGAAAGGGGCTGGACCCGCTGACGAACCACCAAACTTTTGGAACATACTTGCCAAAAGCGACGAAGCACGCTCAGCAGTGTTACACGTATGTCAAAAAATTGGAAACGAAAGACATCCCAACGAAATGGAGGAGAGCCAACGTTGTTTTGTTATTCGAAAAAGCGACGCAACCCTCCCAAGCAACTATAGGCCGATTTCGTCGTTGGCAGTGAAATGCAAAATTTTGGCTTCGATGATACACCGCCGTCTTATACAAACAGGGCCAGAACGAAGAATGCGATCATCCCAGTTTGGTTTCCGCCCTGGGCGTGGCACGGCGGACGCACTGATGCTGATAAGGCGAATCATAGATGCAGCCCATACAAATAAGAACGATGGTATTATAATAATTTTGTTGGACTGGGCAAAAGCATGTGATCGCTTGAAGCCAGACTGTATCTGCAATGCGTTAGGAATATTTGGCCTGTCAGCTCCTATGGTGCAGATGATACAGGGGATGTATTCTGAGAGGTATTTCTCTATAGTGGACCACGGCGGGCGTTCGTCGGAACGCAGACAGTTTGCAGGAGTTGCGCAAGGCTGCCCTTTATCGCCATATCTTTTCATTGCGGTTCAATCAGTGATGTTGCACGATGTATTTGACAACCTACCTCTCTTGGAAGAGCCCGCGTATGTTGTGACAAGGGACATCCTGTACGCTGACGACACGCTCCTGCTCTCCAAACACCCGGGGCATTTACA